AGTTCTTTGTTAAAACAACTAAGAGACATTTTCTTGACTAATATAATAGTATACAAAGGTTTTGATTAATTTTATAATCCTCTTTTTAAATTTTTAAATAAAATTGAGTATTCCCTGTCCATTTTCTGGTACCAGCGATGTTTGTGAATATCTAAGCACATGCAATCTTAAACCCATCTCTTGCTCTATTTCCTACTTCTGCTAAAATTTCCATTTTGCCTTTGGAAGACATTCTCCTCTTTCTACAAGGATTGTTTTATGAAAAACAACCTGTTTTTCATAATTACTTGAGAATATCACTCATACAAACTTTACTAAATGTTTTTAGAGAATGAATTCTATTATGAAGAAACACATAAATTATGAGCATTATGCAAACTTCTGATGAGTCCTTTAGTCTCTACTACTTTCTCCTTGATGTATATTTCCCTCATCTGTTTTCACCTGTTCCCTCTTTTCCTCTTCTTTCTCTTTCATTCTCTGCTTCCCCTAAGAAACTCCTTTTAACTTTTTCTGCAGACATGTTTTCTTCGCTTAGTTTGAGTTCACTAAAGATCTTATTTATACTCAAGCACATCCATTAGGATGTACTCACTTTAAAAAGTTACAAAAGTTACTCACTATGATGTCTCTGATATGAGGAATTTGAGAGGCAGGGCAGGGATTGTGGGGGGAAGGGAGGGCAAAATGAAACAAGATGGGACAGGGAGGGAGACAAACCATAAGAGACTCTTAATCTCAGGAAACAAACTGAGGGCTGCTGGGGGTGGGGAATGGGAGAGGGTTAATGTGGCCGGCTGATGGACATTGAAGAGGGTATGTACTATGGTGAGTGCTGTGAAGTGTGTAAGCCTAATGATTCACAGACCCGTACCCCTGGGGCAAATAATATATTACATGTTAACAAAAAAAAGTTGCTCACTTGACAAAAATTCTGTAAATACCATTTAAAATAACCTTTTTCCCCTCACCATGAGGAAACATCTCATCTTTTTTTTTTTTAAGGTTTTATACACTTATTTGACAGATAGAGATCACAAGCAGGCAGAGAAGCTGGCACAGAGAGAGGGGGAGGGAAGCAGGCTTCCTGCTGAGCAGAGAGCCAATGTGGGGCTCCATCCCAGGACCCTGAGATCATGACCTGAGCCAAATGCAGAGGCTTTAATCCCCTGAACCACTCAGGTGCCCCGAAACCTCTTATCTTTAAAACCCAACCTCCCCCACCACCTGTACCACCCATTCCCCGGGATCTAAAGAGATACTCCAAGGGTATTCTGATCTACATTTTTTGAAGAACATGTTTAAGTGCAGAGGCCAGAAACCTGTGGTTAGGAAAATATGAGAGGTTTATACATGGGAAGGATCCAGGCTTCTGAATCTCTGGTTCTTCTGTGATCCTTCACTGAAGCAGTCATACAAGGAATGCTCCTGTTCTTCCCAGCACGTCTCTTAAATTCTTCATGAAGTTTAATACCAGCTAATTTTTTTTTTATTTATTTGACAGAGAGAGATCACAAGTAGGCAGAGAGGCAGGCAGAGAGAGAGGGGGAAGCAGGCTCCCCGCTGAGCAGAGAGCCCTATGTGGGGCTCAATCCCAGGACCCTGAGACCACGACCTGAGCTGAAGGCAGTGGCTTAACCCACGGAGCCACCCAGGCGCCCCATAATACCAGCTAATTTTTAAAACCAAGCTTATTAATATCAAATCATGCCATTGAATTTCTTATGTCGTGGCCGAATTCATATCCCTGGAGGACTAAAAATGAAACATGGAAAGTGTGTTTTGAGCAACAGTAGGAAACATCTCAGATTTCTTCTGCATTACACAAAAATTATGAGCTCTAGTTATTGGAAATGGCAAGAAAAAAATATTAGAGAAGAGACAATAGAATGAAATTGGCAGAATAGTGATTTTTGCAGGCAAAGCTTAAAAACCAAAAAGGAAGCTAAACAAATTAACCCAAGCCTTCCAACTATTTGTTAGAGCAGTGGATGGGGGCATGTGTAAAAAATCCTTGACAGAGCCATATTAGAGTTCTCTCTCTGATTCTTATGCAGGCTGGCATAAGCTACCATTAATTGCTTGAGGGCTATATAACCCTTTTTTATTGAGTTTATTGAAAAGAGTGTTTGAGAAATGCCTATCCAACTCTGGTGAGCTGAGTAGGTTAAATAAAGCTTAAACAAAGCTTTTTCCATCTCAAGCATCCAAGTTACTCGGCATTTTCAGAATCAGAGTGAGACCCCAGAGACAAGAGTCGACAAAACCAGGCCATAAAATCAGGAAGGCATTGAATGTTTGGATTCAGGACTAAACACAGGGAAAATGAAAAGAATGCCTTTAAAATGTTCACTCTCTGCAACAAAGCAAAACCAATTTACGAACATTTCTTTGAGATTACAGAGGAGGGACACTGTTTTCAGGAAGTAAAACAAACCTAAGGCATTTGCAAATCTTTCATAGTGCCCATATTTTCTAAGCCTTCCCATACCTATTTCTAACAAATTGTTAACCTAAGTCTTAAATAATATTGGGGCTCTTCTTTAATCACACGGCCACATGAAAACATTGCTAGGACAACTTCCAAGTCTTGCTAAGCATCTTCGTCAGTGAGAGACCCACAAGCTTCATCTCACTAATTTCATGCCAAATTTGTCTTTCTATTTCTTAAAAAGTTGCATGTCACTGACCAAGAATTATCCGATCTGGAAGTCTGCAAAACGCTAAGTGTCAGAGTTTGAGGCAAGCACATGTTTCTATTTTCAGTTTTCAGACATTTGTAATAAATATTTGATGTTGTCACTTCCAAATTCTTCTATTTGGGGCAATATTAAACCTGCACAAATCTCTTATTATATTCACTCTAGATATAACATTATTATATTGTTATTCAAATGATGTACTCAAATGTTTTTATTCCAGATTTCCCTTTTTCTCCAGCTCCCACCTTCTATTTTCTTCTAATTTTGAAGTATCATATTATATACATATTATTCTAACTTGCATCATCTCTATTTTTAAAATGATAAATTTTCTGATTTGTATTGAGAAGTTGATTCTTTGTTAACTTCATAGATAATAAATGTTATGTTTCAAAAACAATATTTGCCTCCACATGTACACCAAGTTATTCATTATTTTAAAAATATATTGTACTAACTATTATAATGACTGCCACTTTTACTTTCTTTTCCCTTTCTCCTTTATCATTTCATGGACTTGCAAATATGGACTAACTCCTTATTAAAATGTAAAATGAGTCTGAAACACTGACTTATTTAGATAGATTTTTCTCAACATCAACCAACAACAGTAAATGCACACAATCTTGTACCTGCATAAATTAACTGATACTTTAAAAAAGCATTTTATTAAAAATGATTTTAATTAATTAAAATTAAAATGATTTTAATTTAATTTAATATTAAAATGATTTAATGTAAAGATCAAATTCTTTTTTTGTTTGTTTTTTTTTTTAAAGATTTTATTTATTTATTAGAGATCACAAGTAGGCAGAGAGGCAGGCAGAGAGAGAGGAGGAAGCAGGCTCCCTGCAGATCAGAGAGCCCGATGCGGGGCTCGATCCCAGGACCCTGGGATCATGACCTGAGCCAAAGGCAGAGGCTTTAACTCACTGAGCCACCCAGGCACCCCTAAAGATCAAATTCTTATAAATTCTAAGATTCTGTAGATTTTCTCCAGTATTTTCTTCTAAACGTTTTTTGTTGTTGTTGTTGTTGTTGTTGTTCTTTTTATTCCTTTGTTTTAGTTTTAACTCCTATTTAGTTCTTTTTTATTATTATTATTTTTTATAAACATATATTTTTATCCCCAGGGCTAAAGGTCTGTGAATCGCCAGGTTTACACACTTCACAGCACTCACCATAGCACATACCCTCCCCAATGTCCATAACCCCACCCCCCTCCTCCCAACCCCCCTCCCCCCATCAGCCCTCAGTTTGTTTTGTGAGATTAAGAGTCACTTATGGTTTGTCCCCTCCCAATCCCATCTTGTTTCATTTACTCTTCTCCTACCCCCTTAACCCCCCATGTTGCATCTCCTCTCCCTCATATCAGGGAAGTTGTCTTTCTCCGATTGATTTATTTCGCTAAGCATGATACCCTCTAGTTCCATCCACGTCGTTGCAAATGGCAAGATTTCATTTCTTTTGATGGCTGCATAGTATTCCATTGTCTATATATACCACCTCTTCTTTATCCATTCATCTGTTGATGGACATCTAGGTTCTTTCCATAGTTTGGCTATTGTAGACATTGCTGCTATAAACATTCGGGTGCACGTGCCACTTTGGATCACTACGTTTGTATCTTTAGGGTAAATACCCAGCAGTGCAATTGCTGGATCGTAGGGTAGTTCTATTTCCAACATTTTGAGGAACCTCCATGCTGTTTTCCAGAGTGGTTGCACCAGCTTGCATTCCCACAAACAGTGTAGGAGGGTTCCCCTTTCTCCACATCCCCGCCAGCATCTGTCATTTCCTGACTTGTTAATTTTAGCCATTCTGACTGGTGTGAGGTGATATCTCATTGTGGTTTTGATTTGTATTTCCCTGATGCCGAGTGATGTGGAGCACTTTTTCATGTGTCTGTTGGCCATCTGGATGTCTTCTTTGCAGAAATGTCTGTTCATGTCTTCTGCCCATTTCTTGATTGCATTATTTGTTCTTTGGGTGTTGAGACTCCTATTTAGTTCTATAATCAATTCTTAATTAATTTCTTGTGGGTGCTGTGAATTAAGAGCTGAATTTTCAAGTTAATATTCAGTTTTTCCAGCACCATGGGATTAAAGTGTTATACTATCCCCTTTGAATTAACTTGACACTTTAGTTAAACATCAGTCAAACAGGGGCACCTGGCTGGCTCAGCATAAAGTATGTGACCCTTAATCTCAGGTTGGGAGTTCAAGCCCCATATTGGGTGCAGAGTCTAGCTAAAAAAAAAAAAAAAAATCTATCGAACATATCCATGTGGGTCTACTTCTGATGATTCAGTATTTTCCTTTCATCTTCATTCAGTTTCGGTAAGTTTTGTATTTTTTAGGAATTTGTACATTTTATCTACTTATCCAATATATTGGTTCACTGTGCTCTCTTACAATCTTTGTACTTTTGGTTTCATTGATTCTATTTTTGTTTTTTTCTTGTTTCTGTTTTAGCTCTCTCCTCTCTAACATTTTTTAAAAATTTTCTTTCTTCTGCTAGCTTTAAATTTAGTTCACTCTTTTTTTTCTCCTTTCCTAAAAAATAAAATTAGGTTATTGATTTAATTTCTTTAAGTGTAGGCATACACAGTTTTAATTCCCCCCCCACCCCCTGAGGAGTGCCTAAGTTTGTTCTGCTTATAGTTTATTGAATGGATATGTAGATTCATGTCTTTCATCAATTTAGGGGTACTGTTTGACCATTATTTCTTCAAATATTCTTTTTTGCTTTATTTCCTTTCGGTACTCCTGCAACGTATACGTTGATTCATTCGATGGTATCCCACATGTCTCTCAGGTTCTATTCCCTTTTGTTCATCACTCTTTCTTTCTGTGTCTGACTCAATAATTTCAACTGTTCTATCTATAAATTTGTTAACTCTTCTACCTGCTCAAATTTGTTATCGAATGCCTCTAGTGAATTCTTCATTTCAATTACTGTACTTTTTAGCCCCAGAATTTGTTTGTTTCATGTTTAAAATTTCAATATCTTCATTGATATTCTAATTTTATTCACACATCATTTCCCTGATTTCTTGTAGTTCTTTATCCATGAATTCCTTTAGTTATTTGGGCTATTCCTTGAGCTATTTAGCTATTTGAGTTGTTTTAAAGTTTTCACTTAGTAAGTCTGACCTTCTTTATTTTCTGTCAATTTACTTTGCCCTTTACACATTTCCTGTTTCTTTCTATGCCTTGATTTATGTTGACTGAAAAGTGGGCACTTAACTTAGAATATGGTAACTCTGGAAATCAGATTTTCTGCCTTCCCCAGGTTCAGCTGACTTTTCAGGTGTTGAGGACAATAGTAGTCTCCCTGTCCAGTGACATCAAATTATTCCCATAAACTCTACATTCCTTGCCATGAATAGCCAGCAAAATCTCTGTTTCCCAGCTTGTATTCAGCTAGTGTTTTGACACAGATATCCTTGAATATTAGGAGCTAGCAATTAAAAAGGAGCCAGTCCTTTCATATTGGCTTTGGTCTGGGTCACTCATTCCATACTTAGTGGCTTGCACAGAACCTATAGATCAGCTCAAAGTGAAAACTTGGAGTATTCTCCAGTATTCTCTGAGCATGTGTTTTGGCCATGGCATGTGCATGGCTTTCTAAATTCCCCAATGTAGATGCTGCTTCTAAGTATTCTCATTTCCCAAAGAAACTCCTCAGTTTATGCTCCAGAGCCTCAGGTGCTCTGTTTTTACTGAAATCCTTTTCTTCATGCATATGAACATTGTTAATTTGGCTTATAGTGTTTTTGAGCAATGCCCACCACTAGAGTTCCCAGCATGGTGACAGAGAGATAAGATAAGTACTTTCCATTGTCCTTTGGGCAGACCTTGGACAGGTTAGAACAGATATACAGAATAATTTGCAAATAGTTCTGCTTTGTTCTCTCTGAAATTAGTGGGTTCTCCCCAGAAATGCAAAGATCTCCACAGCTGTGGTGAAGGGTGGGACAAAGGCAAGTAAAAACAACAAAAACCATTCCTAACTCTTTAAATTTACCTTTTTCTTGACTCAGCATTTGCTTAGCTACTATAAAGGTTTTGACTATTTCCCAGAGTTCTGACAAATTTGCTTCTGACAGTTTCTGTTTGTCTTTTTCAATGTTTCCATAGGAGGAGGAAAACTAGTAGCTGCCTTCCACAATTTTACTGTCACTTCCTTTATGTCCATTCTTGAAGTGACCATTGGAAATGTTGTGTCGAGAAGGATTATGAGGCTAAGGCAAATGGAAGAAAATGTCAAGATCGAGTAGCTATGTCTGTCATAACAGAGAAGAAAAAGTGTTACAGCAAATAGTCCACAAACTTACCAACTCTGGACAAACCCAAATAAATACTACATCACTTGGTTAACTATAATCCAGAAAAGCATCATGATTACTGAATTACCACTCTAGTACTGACTGAAGGTATTTCAAACTACACCTGCACATATATATTCTCATGAGTGTGTATGGTACTAACTCATAAAGATGCCTCTTTCTCCAAGGAGGAAATGTTCTTAACAATGTGATGTGGTGAATCAAGAGGAAAACTTGTCACCAGATATACCTAGATTCAAATGATAGCTTTACCCTTTACTAGTATGTATTTAAGCAATTTGTTCAACTCTTGGATTAAGTAAGCTTCTTTCTAAAATTGTTTATTGGATTTGTTTTTCATTTTTTCAACAGTTTGTTGAAAACAGGAAGCAAGATATCTGTGAACATGCTTTGATCTACTAACATTGATGATGATTATTATGACTGCTAGAGTAATTCTAGCCCTAGTCATAGGCTACTGAGAAGGTAAGTAACAGGAGGTACTGAGGTTGCTCATAACTAGGATATCAGTGCTCATGTATTTTTATCTACCCCGAAGGATCCCAGTTTATATCCATTATTCCGGCATATAAATACTGTCCTCTTTCAATGTTAAAGTATCCTGATTTGGATAAGTCACAGAATAGTACATTGATCTCCTAGAAAGAGTATCAACAATAATTTCCTATTGGTTTGTCAGGGAAGAAAAGAGCAGTATCTTTGTAGTAGAGAATTCATAATAAATATATCTCTCATTTTTCTCTATGAGTTGCCTACCACAACCACTGTTCTTTTCTTCTTCCCTAGTAGGAAAAAATCAATTTTCAATTGGGCATATTGCTACCAAGAATAAAAGACAAAATTCCTAAATCTCTTGGAGCTTAGTCAACCAAAAGACTATATTCTCAATGATGGTAAAAAGTATTGATGGAATTATTAGTTAAGTTATTAAACAAGATGATTCAAATCAGAGGAACAACAACAAAAAATATGTGTATGAGGGGGGTGCTTCCCAGTTTCTCTGCTCCATTCAATAGTTTCCCTCTTGTGGTTTGTCATATAGACATGATAATCAGAACTACAGCAGACTCTTTAGCCCTCAAGTGAACTTAAGGATACGTATCATTCAGTGGAATGGTGCACAATAGAGAAAGAGACCAGGCTTCCTGATGGCAATGGGTTCTTACCCACCAGACCTGGACTACTTAGAATATCTAAGAGAGAAATAATTCATGTGATGCTTAAGTAACTACTTTCTGGGTCTCTTACTGTCAGACTATCACAATCCTAATTTATATAGAATTTGTTAAATGGGCATGAAAATTAAAATATTGGAATCTGAAATGTGTCTCTATTAAAGAGTAAAATTCGACTGAGTAAATTTAAAAAATCTTATTGGCTTCATGTAGCAGTTCATGAATTGAGCAGCATCCAATCTAGCAGCAAAAAAGACCTCTGAAGAATTGTACGTGGCAAGGGACTTTAGAGGCAAAAGAAAAACAGGAAAAAGAAAGTTCTCCTGGGCATTTGCTGATTGGTTAAAACAGCATTATTTACTTTATTTTCTTGTGTAAACGGGAAGTTCTAGAGCTGGGTTGGGTAACTTGGGCTGAACAGACAAGCACTGATTTGTTGATCTATGTCTTCCTTATTTGGAAGAATCAAGCCTAGAACCTTCATTAAGTTTGGTTCAGGGACATGAGGTTTAGCATGAGTATCTCCATTTAGGGTGCAATCTGGTTACTCTAACACCACTGATATTATAGGCTGGGAACCTGGCAAAACTTACAATTCAATGCTAAAACATTTGGTCAAACTGCTGCCTGCCTTTCTTTGGAAAGCAAACAAAATGCTGTCTGGAAAGCAGACTAAATGGCCTTAAGGGAAAGTGTGGGAAAATTAGAATGTTGTCTGTGCTGGCTGCTTTTTACTGTTTTCAACAAAGTTCCAGGATTGATGAACTTAAACTTGATCCAGCTTATCTGCAGGCAGAGATGTTAAGGTGTTCTCTCTCTGCAGCCTACAATCTAAATGCATTAAATTTGGAGCCTTTTAGGATTAAAAAAAAAAAAAAAAGTAGAAGAAGAAAAGAAAAGAAAAAAAGAAAGGAAAGGAAAGGAAGAGAAAAGAAAAGAAAAGAAAAGAGAAAAGTAAAAGAAAAAAAAGAGAAAAAAAAAAGGAAGATAACTTTTCTATGCTCCAAAGTGAAGCACTTTTAAGTCTATTCTGAAGAATCAGTATTGCCAGGAGATAAATTATGGGCCCTAAAGCTTTTAAAAAGGCCTTCCATTAACAGTTCTCTATCAGACAAGGAGAGACAGCTAGCAGCAAAGATCTGATTAAGTATGTTGTCTTCCCACCCAAATCTATTCTTTTAAGTGTCTCAAAGCATTATCAGACTTAAAAACTACCAGATCCGGAAGCCAAAAGAAACTATAAACCTGGACTACAGCTGTCTGTTACTTTAAAAATTTAATACCTGAACCTCTATGGGAAGGAAATGGGCTTTAGAATCTTCACAGGCTCTATGAAGAGACACACTCTGCCTAGATTAGAAAGAGCCATTGACGGTTATGGGGAAGGAATAACTCCTTCAGAAGCCAGGGTCTGGAACAAGGGAACAGAGACAACATGGCAGGAGAGTTTCTCCAGAAAATAGACGTTGAACAAGCATTCTATTACCAGGTTAAAGGACTTCACTATTTGTAACTAGCAGGATTCCAGCATTTTGATGAGCTAATGATACCAGTGTTTTCTACTCTAAATTTGTTCTAAATGGAATTTTTATGCCATTCTCCCTGCTCCTTCTCTTTTGGGTGTGTATCAAAAAGATAAGCTCTTTGTTCTGTTTTGTTTTTTGTTTCAGTTTAGTAAGTCAGCAAACAATAAAGAGCTACTAGATCTGACAGAGAATCAGCAATCATCAAGAGACTTTGCACATTGAGCTAGATGCATAACTGGACAAACTTCCTTGAAACGACCTGTTGCTGTGTGATTAAGTTCCAGGTAAAAAGTTGTAAATGATTTAGTACTTCAGTAAATTTCTTCAAAAAAAACATGTAGCCCTTTCTCCTCTTCTTATTCTATTCTTAATAACTGGGATGCACATGGGATGATTAAACATCCAGCAGCCTCCTTAGATCAATGAGGGCCATAACTAACAATGGCCAAAGAGGTAGAAGACAATAGGGGTTGCCATATCAGCTCCAGATTATTTACATCAGATTTACTTTACTTGAAAAAAAAAAAAAATCAGTTTCTCTTCTGTTAAGACAACATTTTTAGTGTTGTGTGTGTGTGTGTTTGTGTTTACTATGATCAGCTTAATCCAAAGAATATATTCTCTTATGTGTTAGGATCATTTTTACCGAATTTCCACCCCTCCCCCAAGATTAAAACAAAGAGGCAAGGGAAAGTTTCATATGCATCCTGAGGAGCTATATTCCAAGCACCTTCAGTGTGTGGCTAATTCAGAGAGATTGCCTTGATCATTCTTACATGCTCTTACTGTTCTAAAGGTATTTATTTTACCCAATGACAAATATATAGTAGTTTAGTGTATATGATCAAATAAATTTTATATTTATCTTTTTAAATTTCTAGTATTTTAAGTGGATACTTAATCACATTGCCCTCATGCAAAATACAGTTGCCTATGTTTACTCTTTTCTTAGTCTCTCAGAAACTTCCATAGATGGCAGTCCTACAGACTTTCTTTATTACAATATATTATGACAAATCATGAGTAACGAATGCCATGTAATGCTGTACAGACTTCTCTCCCCAAGGATCAAGGTATTTTTTAGCACCCAAACATGGCTTTTTGGAAAAGTGGTCCTGGGCGTAATGGGAGGGTTTCAAGAAGGCCCCCTTGAACTCTTCTGGCAACACTGAGTTCAATGAACTCATCAGTTGTTTTCCAATCCTGATTTCTTCTCCCAAGGTTGTTATGCAGGGAGAAGACTATAGTAAGGGCATCTGCAGGAGTCCCTCTATGACCAAGAAGCCTTCAATGTTGAGTCTGTGCTTTCCGGATAGCAGTCAATGGCCTAGGCACCTGGTTGCATTCATTCATCCATATATCCATTCATTTATTTTATTTCTTCATTCATTCATTGTCCACTGACTTCTACTCTATGTTGGGTCCTTTGGTGGGTTCTGGAGACATCTGAATGAATTTAACAGGCCTTCCACATTGGATATTTAGTCTAGCAAGGACACCATGAAGCTATCACCCATCTTGGAGCCTAAAAATAAACCCAAGAAAGCAATGTGGTACACTTTGGTCCACCATGGAGATAGCTGCTGTATCTAGATTGGCCACAACTGCTCACATTTACTCCCAGTTTGTGGTGTCAAATGAAGGAAGAGCTTCATTTCTGCTAGATCAAATCCAAATGGGAGATTATCAGATATGCACCCCATAGATCTGGCATTGGAGTGTTTGGAAGTACTGTAAGGCCAGTAAGGAAATTAAAATTGCCTGCAGGTCCTAAATTCTGAAACCTCAACCTGGACCATGTTAGGGACGACCAGACTCCTCCACTCCCCATGGCCCAAATCATTCCACACATCATTAGAAACCAGCTGTATGTCTTTGGTAGAAGAGAGTGAGACACCAAACCCCTGAAGGATTGAAGTTATGTATGTTTGCTGCAAACACTATGAACTCAGCCAAAGATGTATTAAGAAAAAGAAATTTCTTGGGATAATCATATTATGATGACAGTAGTGACAAAGCTTTTCATCTATGGGGGTTCATGAGGTGAAAAATTCCATTATGACCTACGTTACACGGGTAAAAGTGACATGGAATTTTAGCAGCTGAGTTCCACTGGGACATTCCTATATGTTGTACTGCACAATTAGGTGTGCTTGTGGAGAAACGTGTATGTCATTGGAAAAACAGCTCTCACAGGAACATTGCACGCATTATACCAGCATTACACAGACAAGCAGCACTGGGCTCTGCTTTAATTTGACATCTGTCCCCTCTCCCAAACAACTGGACTAACCCATGCATATCACTCCAACGTTGGTGATGTCTATATCTGTGAAAGAGTGAATTTCTGTCACTGTCAGCTATGAAACGGAGAAAGGTGATATTGCTGACAAACTAGGGCTGTGACCCACATGAGGAAAATCAGATTAAGACACTGCTCTGTTTTGCGTTTAGTGGGATAAAGAAGGTGAAATCTATAATGATCACATTATGACTATAGTTGACTAATAAGACCTATATTTAATTAAAGAAAAAAAAAAGCCTTAGTAAAAAGAGCTGTGTCACCCAAAGTTACAAATCTCTTCCCTAAGGTAATCTTCATCCAGTGAGTGATGAAAGTTGTGGTACAAAGGCTTGGTCCCCTTTCTTAAATTCGGAATAATTCTGAAAGGCCATCACAGCTGTAGTTCCCTATGTGTGTTCTGCTGAGACACCGCATTGATCACATCACAGTCTAACTTC